CTGTGTATTCTGAACAAGTAATTCCTATACAGCAGTGCGGTTTAACTTTTCATTTACATAGTCACAAAAACTTAAAGAATGTACTTGATGTTTTCTGCAAAAATGCTAGGTACAGTTTCTAATTTTTCTTAAATTGCAGCTTGCGAATGCATCGCTAGTGATGCCAGGAGATGGGTTCAAATTGTTTCTTTTCAGCCTGAACTGAAATGAAATTAAAAGACAGCGTTCTGCTATATTATTTTTCTTCATTCAAACAATTGCTAGAACTGGCATAAGAAGGTGATAACGGTCAGAAGCAGAGAAGAGAAGTGGTCCCTATGAAAAACTTAGTACTTCTCAAGTAAGGATTAGTCATCTCCACAGCCACTGAGAAAAAGCTGGTTTGCTTTATATAAGCTAGGTATTCTTTATCACGAATCAGTTCAATAACACCTAAAATGACAATGTGCAATTCAGGTTAGGGTGTCATGGTGTTTATTAAGTATTTCAGGCCTTATCATTTGTTTGGATGAAACTCATTTCCTTCTGACATTGCAGGATATACAATTATAAAGAAGAACATTGGCTGAGAGCAAACGAAGCAGAAATGTTATGAAGGATGTATGGGTGGCCAGATATTGATTGAGAAAGGGCGTGCATACCATCTTCAATCTAACTCTTTTGCAGTAGTATATATTACTTAAGAGAATACATTCCATGATAGTTGTTCTTTAGGAAGCTACTAACACCTCTGTTTGAATTTAATTTTTTGCTTTTTAATAATTTTTTATCTTCAGAAAATCTCTTCTCAGAGCAAACAGCGCTGTGAAAGAAACACCCAGTACCCTATCTTCTGTCTAGTTGGAACCCGTGAGTTCAAGGTGCAATGAGACCAAACAGCAGGTAGTTTTTAACCAGATTTGTTTTATTTTTCTAAAGGGATGGTTTGTACTTGCCCTCTCTTGCCTCCTTCCTTCCATCTCTGGCAGAAAATGTAACTTACGTTCTGATGGCTTAGTGAAGTGAATCTACCCAAGAAAGGATGATCGAGTTCTGGTGCGGAGGAGGGAATGTGACTGCGCAGCTACGGTTAGGTGGTAGAAAAATCAAGGGTAAGATCCACCTGTGTTAGTGGCAGTGAACTGTTAGGCTGTCTGGGCTGTCTCTGCTAATCTGACCTTCAAAATCCTTCTGAATTTCTTCGGTAATGTGCAAGTTTAAATATTCTGTGCCTTTACAAATGAGTCCATGATTTGAAAATATTTCCCAGGTGTTATGGATTAGGGCTGGGCTGGCCATTAAATATGGACAGACACTAACTCCCTTTCCCTCCCCAGATGGGAAGGAAGAGGGAGTGAGACAGAGAGACTTACAGACTGGACAAAAGAAAATTAAGACAGCTTTAATGAATAAGGAAATAATAAAAATAGTGAACTATATACATATATGCAAAACCAATATTGAACCAAACTGTAAGCATCAGGTGTTATTGCTGCTAGTAGCACACATTGTCTGCAAAAACATGCTGCAGACTTCAGAAAGGGCACGAGACTGAGCTGGGAAGTAAAAATGACTGAACAGAACTGATTCTGTTTAGCTCAAACCAGGACACCAAGTAAATATATGATTACATCTTAATGGCTTCTGCATACGGGTGTGTTTTATGTATGGCTGGAAAATAAAAAAAAATCGTGAAGTAGTTTTGGCTGGAAAAATGTAGCACATGAATTTTTTACAGAAATGCCTTTTAAAATCATCAGTGCAATATCTGTGCATCACAAGGAGAATGACATTTCTGAGGAATGTCTAAGTATCCATCTGTGTCTGTAAGCATCACAACTTATTTTTCTGTGCAGTGTTCTCATTTAAGTAAAAACTATGTTACTCTAGCATCACCTTTTCTAGTGCTGTTTCTGGAAAGGTGAGTGGCAAGAAAGGAATGGGAATTTTTCAATGTAGGCTGTTCCTCTCTCTGATCTCTACAGTTCTGAAGCAGAACTAAATCAGTACTCTTTTTTTTTTTGAAACAAGGCTTTCCTTGGCATAGATATTTTTCCCTAAACTGTCTGTATTCTTCCCTGCAGCAAAGTCTGTCTGAGTCATGACAGGCTTTTTTTCCCACTGAGATAAATATGAAGTTCTTTTTATAGACATGCTAAACTCAAATTGTTAATCAAGGGACCTGGAGAGTAGGAACCTCATCAGAGCAAGTTTTTTTCCACATACGCAGAAAGACGCATCAGTGTTGACCAGATGGACTTCTGTAATGTTACTAGCCCTGGTGCTATATAATTCACTTATCACTGTATCAAAGACCAAACCAACATGGTTGGAGTAAAGTAAGATCTGACTTCATTTGCAATTAGACTGTTAGCAAGGTGAAAACATGTGGACAAAAAGTTTTTTGTTGTTTTGTTGTTTTTCTTCTGTCTAATAGGTCAAAGAGATGGAAAGGCAAGTACAGGTGTTCTTATAGTCCCTTTGGGAGCTGTGAGTTAGATGATGTTCCCAAGTAGGATGTTTGTGGAGAGTCTCTGGTTCGCTTTGGCTGCCCTTTAGCTTTGTGTCGAGCTCTGTTCTTTGTGCTCCCCAGGCTAAAATAATGAATAGTGCAGAAGCTGTTCTGCAGTTATTAGTATGAATATTTAAATGCATTTCTTTTTGTCCAGGCTAATATTCTTCTGGTATGTGTTTGAGCAACTGGATTTTCCTTTCCTGTACATTTAAAAACTCCTAGAAAAGATATTTTCTTTTCAAAGTGCATGACCAGTGCAAAGCTGGGAGTTGCACTAGCAGGTACAATAGATACCCCACTGTGTATAACTCTTGGCCAGTTACTCAGTCATCAGATCTGTGGCTTACTTGCCTGTATAATAGGACGAGAATTACTTGATAGTGTAGATTGGTGGATGAAATATGTAGAAATACTGATTTTATCACAGCTGCGGGATGCATTTCTGTCTAAATCCAGACGTATTCATCATCTGGGTTTGTTGATGCTATGGCCTTGTAAATAAATTGCTTCTTATGTGATATTTGTTGCCTGGATTAAATTACCATCTACAGAAATTCTTTTAAGTTATTTTCAAGAGAGTTTTACTCAGTGCAAGTATTGACAAACATTTTTCTGTATATATTCCTATATTTTACAGTTTGTTGGTTTTTTTGAGGTAAAATGCTGGGTTTACTGTTTGTTTAGTTTTTTTTAATTTTGGTTTTGTGTGTTTGAGGTTTTTTTCCCTGTATTTAGCGGACCTAGAGTTGTCATATCCATCTTTCTTGTGTTGTCTGATACTGACTAAGCTTTCTTTCCTTAACTGGTGTTTCTTTTCCATAAATATTTTCATAATTCCCTTGCACCATATAGAGCATTTTATTCATTAGCCTGAAGGAAGCATGAACTCTATTTCAGCATTCTTTAGAAGAAGTTGGAAAGTGCGTTAGGGCAGACAGGACACTGAACTTTTCACAGCACCTTTCAGATGGAGGGAAAACAGCCTTAACCTGCAGATCAGGAGGAGGAAGCAGCCTGTGGTTAGGTACATATATTTACAAGCAGCTTGGGATGAATGAGGAAGGTGAAGGATTATCAGGGTACAGAAAAACCTCTTGGAACCATCCGTGTTTTCTCAGGCTGCCCAAGTACTAGTTGCCTGTGTCTGCAGAAACGAATGTGTTAAAAAAACCGCAGATTAAATCTTAGTGCTGCTTTTTCTTGTCTATGATTTTTTTTAAGTGCTATAAATTTATCATTTACTATACTTTTAAAAGCACAATTTGTTCCGTATTATTCATGTATAAGTGAATGTGGTAACTGAAAGATTTTTATGTTGAATTCCAAGTGAAGATGAGGTGGAAGGCAAGGTGTGAATAATGAAGATAAACTAATAAATATTGCTCTCTAAACCAAAATTTCCATGAAGGTGCTTCAGGTACTTTTTGGGTTGATAACATGCAAGTTATCAATCAGGTAAATGTCTTGGGTTTTGTATCTGCACTGAAGAAATGCATTGCATTAAATTACAACTTGAAGTAATACAGAGGATACTGTGACGGGTGGATACTCTTCATGGCTTGCAACTCCTATTATTTGTTGCTGTTTTCCTGGCAGATTTCGGAGAAACTAAGCCAGCCAGTGGGTTCTCATACAACCAAGACTTGTGTGGGAGACACTCAAGGAGCACCTGAATGGTGTATCAGATCCTCCTGAAAAGTCCTCACGTGACTCACCAGTGGTTCTCTCTTGAGAACAAGTGTGTTAGACATAGTTAGTCCATCTAAAAGCATTGCCTGTAGTTGTCGTAAACCTTGAGGCCTGGACAATTTAGTACCGCTTCAGGGTGCTTCATGTAAATACGATGTTGTTCCGTGAGATCTGCTGGCAGAGCTATTCCGCTGGAAAAGGTGTTTGTAGTCTTGCTCTGTAACGTTCAGCAGCCGCTCAGTTTCTGCTCAAAGTGACTGGATTTCTCCTCTGTCATGTTAGCACAGTAAATTTGCAAATTAGCATAAAAGCACTGTAATTTTATATGTTGAGGTCCTGTTCAACTAAAATTAGATTTCCCATAGAGTGGAAACTGAACTTTTTTCTGGTCTATGGACGTAGATGACTACCAAGTCTGGAAATTTTCAGGCTGGCATTGTTCATAAAGGCTAAAGTTTGCCGTTAAAATATGTTAAGAATTCTAGGTGAAGAAGTGTAGCATATCTTGCTTTTAATACATTGATTTAAATTTTATAAATTAAGAGTTTAGAAGTACTTTTATTATTTTCTGATCTGTTTTGATTATTCTTGTGAGGCAAATTCTGTGCAATGTGATTTCAATACCATCTTTCATGGGAGTGCAGAAAGAAAAATAGTTTGGTGTGATGGGATGAGTTCACTAGAAAAAAGGAAATAAAGAAGACCAATACTGAACCGTGCTGTCTGTAATTGAAAGCAATGAGCTGTTTAGGTAATACTGTGAAGAGCAGGTTTGAGTTATGTGTGTAAATTATTATTACCTTTCTGTTCTTGTGCAGGCTGCTGTATTGCTGAAGTCCATACCTAGATCACCCAGTCTTCCAGACCGTGTGCTCCATGCTTTGAGACCAGGAGGACCTTGGTGTTCTGAAATGAAGATGGAGGCGGTGGGAAAAGCAGAAGAACTTGTTGATTCAGAAGTTCCACCAAAGGCTTCTGAAAAGCAAGAGGCTGCTCCTGATGAAGACGGACCTATAGAACTCGAAACACAAACTCAGAAAGACAACATACCCACTGCAGCAGACTCTGCGGTGCTCTCTTCGATGCCTTGCTTACTGATGGAACTGAGGCGAGACTCCTCGGAGTCTCAGCTAGCATCTACAGAGAGCGATAAGCCAACGGGCGGTCGAGTTTACGAGAGTGACTCTTCTAACCATTGCATGCTTTCCCCTTCTTCCAGTGGGCATTTGGCTGACTCAGATACATTGTCTTCCACAGAAGAGAATGAGCCCTGTCAAGCTGAAGCTGCTGTAGAGGGAGACCCTTCTGCTGTGTCTGGGGCTGCAGTTGGGAGGAAATCCAGGCGATCCAGGTCTGAAAGTGAAACTTCAACAATGGCTGCCAAGAAAAACCGACAGTCTAGCGATAAGCAGAATGGCCGAGTTACCAAGGTAAAAGGTCATCGAAGCCAAAAGCACAAAGAGAGAATCCGGCTCTTAAGGCAGAAACGGGAGGCAGCTGCTCGCAAGAAGTACAACCTGCTGCAGGACAGCAGTACCAGCGATAGTGACCTGACGTGTGACTCGAGCACGAGCTCTTCAGATGATGATGAAGAGGTTTCAGGGAGCAGCAAGACAATCACTGCAGAGATACCAGGTAGAGGATGTTTTTTAAACTGAACTGTAACGCATCTGACATCGTTTCTCAGCTGTCATGCTATATTAGATGAGTTACACTTGAGAAAAACCAGGAGAACTGCAGCTCTGTGTAAATTTGAAGACTGCAGTACGTTAACAAGACATGGGCAAGTCATAAATTCTGTTCTGAGGTTTCAGTGCACTTTTGCACACCAACAAAGCATAGAAATGGCAAACTGGAGGAAGCACTATCTTTGAATTCTGGAATTTTTAGATCTTTTCCTTTGTAAGCCTATATGAACTCCTCTCAGTGCTGTCAGATCCCATTAGAAAGTGATAATCTAATAAATACATTCTTAAGATAAGTGACCAGCTTTGCTTTAACGTGTTAAGACCACAGCTCTGCAGCGGTGTTAGGGATACTGTGGCACGCCTCTTGCACCTCTTCCAGTAAGGCCATTCATTATTGCACTTAGGCTGTGCGTTCAGCTCTGCGTTTCAGTGCATGACAAACCTACTCAGCCTTAGTGAAAGTTCTTGCAGGTTGCAGCTGGTCACCTATTTTAGGACATAAATACGGTTTTGGTTACGCGGGTGCCTGAGCTATATCCACACCTAAATTTTACATGTTTTAGAAAAAGCTGTTTCCATTTTCCTATTGCTTAAGCAGCTAAAATCTTTATATTACAAACTTTCTGACACATACATGTTAAGATTGGAGGGAGCAAATTTCAGGGGCCTTCTCATGATTTTTTAGCAAAAGAAAGATGAATTCTTCAAATTTTTGTCTGCTGAGTCTTTGTTATTTTATTAGCCCAAGTGCTGTGGACAGGAATTTATTTGAATTATTCTTGCAGCTTTTTATACCATAGAACCATCATCATATGGCAATCAAAAATAAAATCATATAAAAGTAAACTTTTTGGCTTGCCAGTCTTTACTGTTACATGCCTTTTTGGCCTCTTGTGCTAGACTTTTAGAGCTAAAGATCAGTTTACACAGGGCGAGAACATTTAAAGGAAAACTGCAATAATTAGTCTTTAAGTTGCTGACTAATGTTTGCTAGATTAATTATTCAAATATTTGCAGCTGATTTTACAAATAATTGTGTTTTAACCGACTTGATTATGGTGAATGAATGTCACCATGAGAACTGGCATTTTTGCCACATATTACTAGGAAGCAGGTTGCACAAAGGAAGTTCATATTTATTATTAGAAAGTCTGGGAAAGGCATAGTCCTCCTATAATTATTGAGTAGTAAACTTTTAATAGAGATCTAAAATTATTTTTACCAATTTAGTAGTTAGTCAAACTTACAGCTTTCATGGTTTGTGCTCTTTTACTTACTATATTTACACTTTGGGCAATTAAAACCTGATTTAAAGCCTGTCAAAGAAGGCTATTTCATTGAGTTTTGGGACACCACCCCACCCTTCAAAAAAAACCCCAAACACACCCAGTAAGTTCCTCAGGCTGTATTACTATTTCTTCTAAGTCATAAAAGTACCTTGTGACCCAGAGAGGCACCAAATGGTATTTTCAGATCTGCCTAAATTTCTGTCTTCCATTGTGGAGAGCTGAAAACACTCTAGGGTACTTTTGCTGTGTCACTAGGCTCCTCTGTGTTTAAGCTCTTGGTGTTAACAGTGATATGCTTGCAACTAAAAGCTTTCCTTGCGGTGCTCAAAAGAACTTGGTGATTTAGTGGTAGTTACACCAAGGCCCAGTTCTACCTGCAATGCAAGATGTGGGAGTGCAAAACCCATCCTGAGGAGCAGTGATGTTTGTTCTTACCTCATAGCACGTGTTATCTGCTTGACACTAAATCACATTTAAGAAATTGGAGCCTTTGAGCTGTTCTTGTGGAATCAGATGCAATGCATACCTGCCACATTGCAGTTTTCCCTTAAATAGGAATGACTTTGGTTTGTGGGAAACAGTCTCCAAGTGCAGGAGAAAAATATTCTCTATATAGACCAGGACAAGGTTAGCCAAAAACGTATCTTGTGCTACTTATGGGTTAATGACTTGGTGTTGTCTGAGCAGATGCAGCGGAGCTATGAGTCCAAGTAGGGGTCCCAGCTCTCCGTCGCAGTGGTTGGTTCGCATGCCATCTGTGATCCCTCTTCTTGGAACTGGCAAAGTGCTTACCTTAAGTTGTTTTATCTGAGTAGAAAGCCATTTTAGTGCACTTAGCATTACACTGTGAACAGCCTCAAAATTTAAGGAGTGAACATATAGAAAAATAATACAGGGATATCAAAAGGCATTACTGGAAATTCAGGCCGTGAGTGTCCTCTGCAGGCAGTCAAAAGTTAAAAGGTTTAATTTGATACTTGAACTTGAGTGTCAAGAAACTACAGTGCGCCCGTCAGAAGGAGATAAGCATGAAAAAAATCTTTTGTCTTCTACTTTTGAAAAAAGTCTGCATACAATGATGCAGGAGAGATTTACAGGTAGCCTGTGTTGTTCTTAGTCCTGCTGTGCTTGGACATTTCAGCTGTAGTGTTGGTTACTGTCTTGACACCAATTATTATTGGGACTGATTTTCAAATGTTTGTTGTCTGAAAAAACAGTTTTGCCAACAGAGATGCTCAAAGTTAGTGTGGCCTTCATGTCGGAAGGTTATATATACTCTGGCTCTTTGTGTTGACAAAGGTAGTGCTCCAGAAGGCAGTTTGCTTGTGTGTGGTGTGAAGAATTGAAGTGCACCATTTGAGAATACAGTAGTCCTTCATCTTGCATAACCAAACCTCTTCCATTTTAATAGTGCAGTTATTTTTTTTATAAGCCATCCACATAACTGGCTCTGAAATATGTTTGGCTAGATTACTGAGGTAAGGAAGATGTTCGGTGAAATATGTAATAATGCCATAAAGTTCTGAACTGAGAAGTTGTGGAGTAGGGAATCAGTTCCCTCTGCTGAACTCAAATGGAAAGGAGGTTAAAATAACTGGCACGCTTATTTTTCTTGTCTAGAGTGAATGAAGTGTAAAGAATTAATATCTTACTAGTGATACTTCCGTATAAGTAGGAGCTAAGCACAATATATGTTACGTTATTCTGAATGCACTACATCATGTTGGTTTGCACCTGAATGCACAGGTACAATCTAAACTTCACAGGTGCTGACAATCTTTTCACTGACCTGAGCAGCCATAGTCTTGGGCTCTTCAATTCAGGGATTGCCACGACTTTTGACTTGTTGCAGGTGAGGAGCCATTTCTGATATTCAGATGATTGAGCCTCTCTGTTGGCATTTAAGATTTTACCAGATAGTATTCATGACACAAGAGGATATTCTTTGAGTCCTGGAATACATTCTGCTAGACCTGCTACCATTGCAAGTTTTTCCGTTAAACAGTTTTAAATTTGACCATGCAAATTAACTCTGAATTAAATTGGCATGAGAGTAAGTTTGGAAGTCGATATTTATTTCTGTTTAAGCACTTCCTTTGGAAGAAGGAGGTTTTTTTTTAAAAATGAAATATATTATGAAAATAGTGGCCTTTCACCACCATTGTCCTTTCTACAGCTCAGAAAGATGGGAATTGACATCAGAGGGACTCACGTTCTAGGGTTTCAAAAAAACTGTTCAAAAGTTTGAATATGTAGAAGTCCAAAGAGAGGGGCACAGTGTGCATGAGGGACCCTCAGGCAGGTTGCTTCTTCCAAAGAATTGTGCTTAGAGCTTGGATAAAACGTCTGGCAAGGGATGACTTTGGTTGAAGTAACTCTGAATGTCAATTATATAAGAACGCTCTGTTAAGAGTGATTTGCACTAAGATACTCTTTTGGGAATATTGGGCAGCATAACGCCACGGAGGAATCCGCCAGCGCTAATTAGAATGAAGCAGTGGCATATCTTAAATCGTTGGGTTGTCAGGCTTCCTAAGTTAAATAACTTCGGACTTGGTTATTATTTAGATAGTACTTAATAGATCCCATAGACAGCATTGGGGCATTTCTGAGGTGGTGTTCTGCAGGAGGTGTTGTCTTTAAAAATAATACGCGTCTTGGATTCCTACCCCTTTGCTGCTGAAAATTTCTTCACCTTTTAACTTGGTGTAACTTCAAAAACCATGGAGCTGTAAGTTAACAGATAGCTAAGGGACCAGTTAGATAAATGCTAGCTTTTTTAATGTAATAGAAATTAAATTTTAGGGTTGATGTTCTGTTTAACCCTCCAGGCCACCAGTAAATAAAAGATGGAATAAGGCGTATTATAAGAACTGCAAATGAAGTATTTGAAACACTGATTTGCTGCTACTGTAAATTGTAGATATACTGTGAATGATGTCTTTTTAAAATAGTATTACAGGGTAATAGATATTTCAGTGCATAGTTTCTTCAGTTTAGAAAACAATTTTGTCAACTTTGACCATGCTAGATCATTGTTAACTTTAAAAGCGTAGTGAGATTGTATCACATATCGTCATCAATGTTTTTTATTTAAGTTGCCATTAAAACTTAGTTAACGTGTCCAGTCATAAGCTGTGGACATCAGAAAAACTGCCATTTAGTTACGTGATCTTAGGATATAATCCCTGACTAAAGATGAAAAAATGGAAGCATGTCACATATACAATACTGGTATATGACAAAATGTTTTCAAGGAGAAAAAGATGCTGAATAAGCATCTGTTTTATTAAAACAGTACCATTTTATTTAATTACCTTTAGTTAAAGTGCAGTCAGAGGGATGTAAATTGGTTGCTCTCAGGTAATTTATTTTGGAGCAGAGGACCTGAATGCTGAATTTCCAGCCTGTCTGATAGGTGAGCAGATAGGAGAGAAGACTTAAAAAATAGGGGTAAAACATTTTTGGCCCCTGTTGTGTAGCACTGCTACTGCTCAGAAATAAGAGAATAATCCTGGGCTTTGTTTAGCTGTTACTGGAAGATTTATGTATACCTCATTTAAATAGCTCCTGAAAAGAATGTATTGTTTAAGTAATACTGTAATTTCATGTATGCAGTGAAATCCCTATAAAGATTTGGTGCCTTATGTTTTTATTA